CTGTGTAGGGTATGATTTTGAATAAAAAATAGGGTTATTTTTTTAATATTATTTTTATTGTGGCCAATTTTTACTGTTTGTCGAAATTAGGGCTTTTTGACGATTTTTACTATTCGTTGAAATTATAGCGTATGTAGTTCGAAATGAGGGATTTTTCAGTTTTTTTTTTTTTTCCTCGGAATTTATTGATTGAATTTTTTTTTTTATAATGCAACAATTTTCTTCCTGAATTTTTTGAAGTCCAAGATGTTGGAATTGAAGCACTTCGTTTACATCGACATGTGATTCAAAAAAAATAAGACATATAATGTTTGGATCTAAGACACAATTGTTGAGAATTTGAACCATTAGAAGATATTTTAGCATGAAAAAAAATGAAGCTGGAAAAAAAAAAGGAATTGAAGTTGAATAAAATGAATTCAAAAAAAAGAATTGAAGTTGAATAAAATGCAGAATTCAGGGAGAAAAGAAAACATGAGAAAAAACGAGAAAAAAAAATGAAAAAACGAGCTGAAAAGGTAAAAATTTTGGTGAGGAAAAAAGGGCAAATGTATGCTGCATTTATATTGTGATTCTTGGGGTGTTTTCGTCAGAAAAAAACCAAAGACTCTATGGAACGGTCGGTTAACGCGACCAACGGAGTCAGCAGTCAGTCCTAACGGTAGGGGGGGTCTTTGTAGATTTTGATAATAAAGGGGAGTGAATGCGATATTTTCCATAGTACATGAGTGCAAACTGTAATTTATCCTTAAAAATATTAACAACTCCATGCATAGGAGATATCTCAGTTTGTATCTTTTTGCTCTCAACTCATTATATCTTTTGTATTTCTATTGGTAATATGTTTATTTCATAGTGAGTAAGTACCCTACAAAGAATAATTTGGGAAATGATAATATTCGAATTTGAGTAAATTGATTTGTCTATTGTATTTGCTCCACCAACAAAAGCACTTTTGTAGAACAATTGGTAACTTTTATTGACTAGTCTAATTCTTGTAACTTATAATCAACACGTCAACACGACATGTACCAAGAACTTCCATTAAAGAAAAAAAGATCCCATTAAAAAATGATGCATATTTTATGTTATGGTCAAACATTTTTCAACTATCAACTTAAAAAATCAAACTTCAAAACATTGAATTTGTAAAAGATGAAAGAAAATAATGGAACGAGTCAAGCAATTTAGTTTGGGAGAGTTGAATTGAACCAATTGATGGGATTCAAACCAGGGCGAAGTAAGGCCATTGGCAAAAACAATAAGTATGTTTGTTAAACCTTAATTAATACCTAATAGTAGGCGGAAAACAATTATTATAAACACTTATGCCGAATGATTTATACTATGCTACACATAGTGAAATACAACGTATAAATATTTACTATTCATAAGCACACATACACTCACATTGGTGTCTGTGGATCAATATAAAAATCTACCCCGTGTATCACATAAATAATCGTGTGGAATTGGGGGAAAAAAACAGAAAAGTAACTTTCCGAAAGAACAACACCTTGCAACGAAATAAATTCAGATAATCTTTCACAATTTTAATATACTAAACTAAGCTGCAAATAATCATTTCAATCTAAAACCAAAAAAAAAAATATAGTAACTAATAAAACTACACTATTCATAATCATGGGCTACTTGGACTGAACTTGCCTATTTGATCTGGGTTAATTTTAACCCGTTATTATGAATCTGGGCTGGGCCATTTTCTTTTAAATTTTCCGTTTAAATTAATAAATAAAAAAAGATTAATCGAATGAAGTTTTGTCGAAAGCCATCCAGATTTTTTTTTTTTTATAATAAATTCTGGATCAATAAATTATGTAACTTTAGAATAATAAGTTTTGTATAGCCTAATAAAAACCAATACCACATACTGCATACAAATTGCTAATCTAAGATAATCGATATGATAAAAAGTGTTAATTATATAATTAGCATAACATGTAAATTTATATAAGGTTATTAGTAAAGTTTATTGTATTTAGCACCCATGTATTTTGTAATATTTTTAACAGATGATTTGTTTTTTTAGAAATCCGATATATTTACATGCCTACTAAATATAATAAACTGTTATTAAGTACATTGAGAGTTGAATGGGCCTGGCCCAATAATATTCCGGGCCAACAAAAGATATGAATGAAATTCGGCCTTTGCCAAATTGCTGGGCCTTTAGCCTTTAGTGATTAATTAATAATACTGCCCAGTGTTGACTAAAAGGGTTCGTTTGACTTTGTTGGACTTTTTTCTTTTCTATTTTCTCTTGGACAAGATGGTAAATATTTCCTTAATTTTTTTTTAGATTAAGTTAATAAGTCTTTATATTGTGATATATATATATATATATATATATATTAAAGATTGACAGCTAAGATATATTAGTAACTATAGACACGGTTTTTTCAATGTGACGGTTAGACTTGGGTGTAAATTGAGTTGATCCCATTCCATTTATGTTTTATTTATTTAATTTATTATTTTGAGACAATAAATTATTGGTGTATAGTGTATACTTGTAGTGTGAATCCTTTTTGCAATTGGTCAGTTGCATTCTTAATTAGTAGTAGTACTTCAAAGCTATTGGCCACTCGTTAGTTTATTGGAAATATTAAATTTTAAATAATACATTTTATTAAATAAAATTAAGTGTAGCGTGATATTAGGGCCATGCCAAATGAATGTCCTGAGTTCGAAACTGACCCCACTCAATTCAGATATTTCAAGTGCAAAGTTCTGAAATTCGCATGCACTTGACGGAATAATTAGTCGTTAAATCAGTAATTCTAATTTATTTAGATAAAACACAATGTGATGAAACCCTAAATTTAATTGGAAAGAAAGAAAGTAAGAAAGTGAGGATGGTCACCAAAAAGTGGTGTTTATGGCAATGTGTTTTGAAAAGAGCAAAAAAGAGGGATGGGGAGAGCTGTATCGACTATCGACTGTTACACTTGTTTCTTTTGTACCACAGTACTACCAAATTTCTATTTTGACTTTTCAACCCTAATTGCTTCTACCTACTCAAACAATGGGTCCCACTTTTAAATAATTTGACTTATTTCCTAGTTTCTTTTGAATTAGTCTAACAACCCCCCACTCAAAAGTCAAAATCATCTTATATCAAATCTTAAATTTACATATATATTATTTTAGTTTGCTCTTAAAACCATATTTTAATTACTTACGCCTGCATAAGTTGCAAGTATTTTATATATTTTTTTAATTTTTTTTGGGGGTGGATTGAATTTTTTAGTAGTGGAAATGTGAAATGTTAAAAAACGATGAATGGTTACATCTATTGTACATGACAATGCCAGAAGGGACTTACTCAATTAATGTTTGCTTTTATTCGAATTCACAAAAACATATATATAATAAATTAAAAATTGCAATAAATTAAATTGAAGAATTGGTGTAAGTTATAAGCAAGTCTGAGTTTTCACGATACTTGTGCAGAAATCTTGTTATTAACCATCTTAGAAACTGTCGTCACCATAAAAATTCAGGCTATATATCTTTTCTGCTGATTCGATCCTCTTATATTTTATATATATACGTATATTTTTAATTTTTTTTTTCATGCCAACTAATGAAATTGAATATAAAATCAAATAATAAATATTGGCTTAAATGTAGATATATGTATATGTGTAAGTGATTTATGGTTGTTGAAATGAATGATCCACAGTTAAAAAGCACTGCAGCATTTATTTTTTTCAATAATATGGAACTCTGCTGTATTTATTTATGCTCTAACAAGACAGCTCGTTTGGAATTAATAATCAAATATTATATATAATTTGTTGTATTATGACGTCATAATAATTCATTCAACAAAGAAACCTTATTAATCTACTCCATATAATCCAATGATAGTTAATTAAGGGTTTGAGAAGAGGGTTTAGAGTTTATATTAAAAACAAATTAATTGCCGATTATTGGCTAAATAAAGGGAGGTGAAAACTCGATTAGTGGGTGATGATTAAGAATTCATTAGGGTTTAAATAAACTGCCGAAAACAGTTAAGATAAAACAATTAATTAGTGATAATAATGAACATAGCTTCTTTAAAACATGCCATAATTATTCGGACAAACATTATCATTGTGAATCAAGCTAGTATTAAGGTACATGGTCCCGGCCCATATCTAGGATCGGCCGCTATAACTCTATAACCATACATTATTATCCAATTAAACTAATTCAATTCTATTGGATATTAAAATCACAATTAATCCTCATAAATAGTTATATAAAATTATAAATGCTAAGAAAAGTTTTTTTTTTTTTTTTGTTTATGAAAATTAATGTCTAAAATAATTTATGAGTTATATTTGAAAGAAAAATATAATTAATGTATAAATAAAATTCTAAATTTGACAAAGAATATAAAAATAAAATCAAAAATCAAAACGACAATCAATTTGAGACAAAAATAATAATTAAAAAAAAATGTTTATTTGATGATCTACACGAAATTGTTGGTTAGGAATTAGGATGGGATTAATGGTAATAAATAAAACAGTGTAAATAGGGACAAAATTAGTGTAAAAACAGTTGATGCAATAAAAAAAAGTGTGCTGATGAGGATGTGTTTTTAGGTGTAGAGTGGTCCCCACGCGCCAGCTATATACTGGGCTGGGCCTCAGTATCAGTAGATAATCTTTTGAGTTCCAATAAAGGGTTTTGCTAGTCTTGTTCCTCTCATTCAAATTATTATATTTATATATATATTATATACAAATTAAATTTAAATTTACATTAAAATTAAAATAAAGAATAAAGTATCCATTGGATGAAAAGTACGAGGTGATGTTACTTTGACCACACCACACGCTACAGTAACAATTTTCTTACGTCTAGTTAACAAGGTGAAAAAACAGAATAATAATTATTGAAATGTTGTAATATTTGTACTTTATTTAATTCATTTATTTATAAATAAATAAATAAAATAAAAATTTCAATTAAATTACCGGCAGTTGTAAGGAAAAGTAGAAGGGCGTGTGCTCTCATTCATGAACTCATAGAGACACCATTAATCATTTCTTTTTTCTCTCTCTAAATAACCAGAAACAGTATTTTTTTTAATTTTTTTTTTATAAATGACCGTTTCTCTCTCTAAACAATGTAAGCCTCGAGGATTGGGAAATGAAGAGAGAGAGAGAAGATTTAAAAAAAAAAAAAGCAAAGCCAAAGAAAAAGATTGAAAGCAACTCATCGTAGCTACTACAAAATAATGCCTAGTCCCACAATAGTTAAAATTTAAAATATACTCTTCCCTCGGTGTATTGATTTATTTAGGTAATTCATTTATTATGTAACGCATCAATTAATAATTATATTTTATTTATTAATTATTACTATGATATTAAAATTAAAATATATAAAAATATGAATTGGTTTGATGGTGTCACAAAACATTAAAAATCGTAATTGGAGTTGGGTAAATAGTGTAACCATTAAAGGAAAGTAGATTAGATGCAGAAGGGTTGGTTCTGCAAACTGATGCATCCTTGCCAATGAAATAAGCTGTACAAAAGAGTGGTCGAAAATAGTAAAGCAATTACTCTGTCCTTCTTCTTCGCCTTTTTGTTTTTCTACCGAATAATAAAATATATATTTCTTGTAATAATTTATATTATTATTATATGTTAGTATTTAATATTTTGAGTTATGAACCAGCTTTAATTTTATTATTTTGGGGTCTAAGTGGTGAATTAATTGAGTAAATAAAGTTATGGTGTGACATTTTTTAGAGTAAAAGGAGGAGTTTGGCTGCGTTTCACCTTTGATTTAAGGGACTCTTTAATAACAGAGGTCTATACTCCTATTCTACTTTCTTATCTTCTACTCTTTATTTTTTTTGTTGGAATTTTAAATCCGAATTCAAGATCAATTACGAGGTTCAATTACTTACAACTAATATTATTAGAGGAGGCAAGTGTAATCAACACTTGTTAAAATAATGCATACTTTTGTATTTCTGTAATGTTTGGACTAATTTTCATTTTTATACATAAATCATCCCATTTCTTCTTCATAATTAAGGTATTGTTTGGTTGACAAGATAAGATTAATCATGATTAACTTAATGTAATCTAATAAAGCCCAATTTAATATTGTCCCTTTGAAAGTTCAATAAAAAAAAAAAAAAATTACTAACATAATATTTGCGGATCGACCCGATAAATTATTGATATACTAAACATCAAACAAAGCCCAAATATTTGGATAATAAAAGAATCATATAATATAATCCGTTGATCCTCAAATCTAACACACCCCATAAATACGGATAAATAGCACGCACATACGATGGTAAAAGGCGCCAATTTCATTGGAGGGTCTAGGGCTAGCTGATCCATCTTATTTCAGCTAACCCACATGAAATGAAATCTCTGCTGTGGGGCCCAACTTCACAGGAGAGGGCCCCACGTATACACATTCACACGTACAAACACTCACGTGTTTGAGTTATTGTCTTTGTATCATATATATTTACACACACTCGTACACCACTCTTATCGCACATATATACGCACACTCGTCGGACCAAATCCCACACAGCCAAAACAGAAAAAAGAAACATATATATCACCCAGCCATTTCTACACACACACACACACACTATACACACCTACTGAGATGGCTGAAAGCGCATCTCCATGCCTCTATTTCTTCGTTTTTCTTCGCATCTTTATTTGACCTAGAATGAGTGCGCGCCTCGGAACTCTTCTTCTAAGAAGAAGATGGATTCACACCACCACACCCCTCAATTCTTCTCCGATTCTCTCTACTGCGAGGAAGAGCACTGGGACAATGTTGAGTTATTAATGCACACCACCGCAAACTGTTTGACAAAATGCCAAGGAGAAAGTTCTACTAACTCAGACCCAAGTTTATTTGTGGAGTTGTGGGAGGTTGACGAGTTGAGCTCTTTACTGCACAAAGAGCAGGGAAACGAACTGCACGATGCCGCCGGCCTCGAGCAGAACCCATCTTTAGCAGAGGCAAGGTGTGAAGCGGTGGAGTGGATGCTTAAGGTTGTTGGTTACTACTCATTCTCTGCACTAACTGCGGTTCTTGCAGTTAACTATCTGGATAGGTTTCTCCATAGCTTCCGGTCCCACAGGGAGAAGCCATGGATGATTCATCTAGCTGCTGTTTCTTGTCTTTCTTTGGCTGCTAAAGTTGAAGAAACCCAAGTCCCTCTTCTTTTAGACCTTCAGGTATGTATATATACGTTATAAAAATCCAGTCTTTGGAGAAAAAAAAAATCATTGCAAGGTGGTAATGATTTGAAGTGTGTTCTTACAGGTGGAAGATTCCATGTACGTGTTCGAATCGAAAACAATTCAAAGAATGGAGATTTTGATTCTGACAACACTCGAATGGAAGATGAATCCAGTCACCCCACTTCCATTTCTCGAACACATTGCTAGGAGGCTCGGGTTGAAGGATGCCCTATGCGCCGAGTTTCTTAGGAGATGCGATTGCCTGCTTCTCTCTCTTCTTTCTGGTCAGAGAAACTAAATATTTATGTCTGTAAGGGATCTCGTGTGTGTGTGTTTTGTTGTCTGATTGTGTGAAATACAACACACTTTGCAGATTGTAGATTCATGTGCTATCTGCCTTCTGCAATGGCTACTGCTGTAATGCTGTATGTAATCAACAGCCTTGAGCCCTGTTATGGGGTTGAGTATCAAGATCAATTACTAAACATTCTTGGAACCAACAAGGTATATATATATACATACATTACATACCACCATCTTTTTTTCCTTCAATTTTCTTACAACCCTTTTCTCAGACAGCTGATTTAACGAGTCCCAAGTTAGAAACTTGAATTTTTTTTTTTTATCTTCTTCTTACCTTTTACCCTCATGTAAAATGAAAAAAAAAAAAAACAGGACAAAGTGGAGGAGTGTTGTGGTCTAATACAAGAAGTTGCAACAAGCATTCAATTCTACTCGTGCAACAAAAGAAAGTTTGGGTCAGTTCCGGGCAGCCCGAAAGGTGTGGTGGATGTGTCTTTCAGCTCTGATAGCTCCTATGATTCTTGGTCATTTAGTACAACAACAACAACACCAATTGCTTCTGTCTCCTCTTCACCTGAGCCTTTGTCCAAGAAAATCAAGTCCCAAAGTCCAAAGAATGAAATTTTATGATCTTCCCAATTTCAAGCTCCAAGATCCCTCATTTAATATATATA